TTGGGCGGAAGAGAGCCCGGCCTGGCGGAGCCCGGGGAGTAGTAGTATATGCGGCCGAGTAATCGGGAGACTACGGCGATGCAGAAGAGATCGTAGGCGTCGGTGAAGAAACCCATTCCGGCGATGATGATGGCCGTGAAATGGTACCATTGAGTCTTCGCCACATCCAGTGCACTCAGCACTCCCAGTTGTTGCGTCATTTTCAAATTTTATCTGCTTACGCAAATTATTACAAAAGCTTTAGTTAATTAATTAAAAAAATATATACTAAATTTAAGTTTTACTATCCAGATGTTTTTTCAATATGATCCCCTAGTTTAAAAAGTGTTCTGTTTTAACAATTTTTAATTATACCATTCATTGATTAACGATAATTTTAACTTAGAAAAATTTTCCAATTTCTTTTGAACTTTTAAGAATTTGACAGAAATTTTGACTTTTTCTTTTTCACATATTTTTTCTTTCTATAATTTCTTTTTTTTAGTTTAAGAAGTTTCAGTGGTGATAAGAGAGAGAAATGTGAAAAAAAAAAGAAATATCTCTTTTCTTTTTTTTAAAAAAAAAGAAAAGAAAAGTATTTCAATATTGTTTTTTTTTCTCTTTCTAACTATACCCTCATTCGGTGATCACAAAAAATGTCCTTTTTTCTTTCCCCAAATTTATACAAATTATTATGCGATATAAATATACTATGAACAAATTTTAATATATATCAACGAAAAAGTTAAAAATAAGAGCTGGCACTGAATTTTAAAACACAAAGAAATTAAGGACTAAAACACATTTAGCGATTGAAATTCAATAGAAAGGCAACACTTGGTTGAATGCTAGAGAGAGAGAGAGAGAGAGAGATTACCGAGTGGACTTTTGGCGATGGGGAGGAGAAGATGTGTAAGGCAAAGAGATTTTGGATTTGAATTAGTTTATATAGAAATTGAGTTCTTGAAATTGGAGAATCATTTGAGGATCTAATTAGCATATACCCAACTAGTTTCTCTATTTAAATGTCTCTCCCTCTAAATTTAGGATTAAAATATAATGTTAGATTGATTAATTGAAAATTTTAATCAGATTCTTGCCATGTATTACTTTTTTCTAATTAATTATCATATATATACACTCTCTCTAGAGCTGGCACTGGCAGTTGGCAAATTTCGAAGTGCATACCATTACCAATTATTTTAATGTAATACTAATTAAATTTGTCCCGAATATGTATCAAAATGTTCAATTTTTTGGAACAAAATGTTCGTTTTAAATCACAGACTAATTGGAAAATCTGCAAAATTAATTCGCAGGATTCAAACCATACCAACATCGTCTCAACCTAGGGATTTGATGAAACCATTATGATTATTTAAGCTCCCTTTCGTCCTCGTTTCTTATTTCTTGTCTTTCTTTACCGGTACTTCTTTACCCACCCTTGTTCTTTCACCACTCATATCTTCATGTTCCCATAGTTTCAGTGGGCCGTAGCGGTGAGAGACCCATCAAGAATCAATGGAAATTGCATCTGCTCAAGCTCCCCAATTTCGACTTCGAGATTTCTTAGAATTGCTAGTCGGCCAAGTTGAACAACACAAAGGTGCGGTCGAGGTACGATATCGCMACGGTAGAGATACCTAGTAGAGACTGCCCGGAGTCAGACGTGGTTGGAGTTTTCCAACTATGGATGGGAAGAAGTCGCGAAAAGAAGACATTTTTCTTTTTATAATTATTATTTTTAGTTTTAAACCAATTTAAATTAAACCGGTCCGATATTGAACCAACCCGCTTAGTTGGCTATTTAATTTGCTACAAAGCTACGTCATACTTCCATTAAATCTAATCAAATTTTAACAAATTTTAAAATAGAGAGACTAAATTGTTACTTTAATGAAAGTTCAGGACCAAATGAGTTATTTAACCATGTTTTTATCATATATTAATATTAACCATTAGGCAGAAATTTAATGACGCCACTTCCATCTTTTAAATTACACACTATGGATACAAAAGAAGAGAGAGAGAGAGAGTCAAATTCATAATTTTTTTAATGATAAAACTATTGTATTAGAAAAAATTAAAATTACTAATTAGTGTAAAATAACTAAACTGTTAATTCTGAAATGTTTATAGGCTTATCAGCCCTTTTTGTTATTTTTTATTGTACGCATTTGTATTTGATTAATCCAAAAAAATATAAACTATTATTTTATAAACTTAATGCCGTTGACCTTATCTGCATGTGCTTTAAAATATTTCCTTTATATATAAAATGAAACTCAGGGGGTTGACATTTTTGTCCCTCCATCACTCATGCATCATGTGCGGCTCCTCAAGCTCACAGTCATTGACATTCTCAGAAAAATAACAAATTAAAAAATTCGAAATACATTATTCAATTATGATAATAATTATATTTTACTTGTGACATTGAATTTAGAAGCCCTCTTGTTAGGTGGGTTTTAAAAACTTGTTGATAACACACAAATTTTCATCAATCTAACCCAAATTGTTTGGATTCCTGTATCAATAAACAATTTGGATTAGCATTGGCAAAATTAACATAACTTACTTTTCTTTTTAAATCCAAATTAACCAAATTCAATAATAATGCTAAAAATCATAGTTTTGCCTATATCACTATATAATTAGGAATTTTATTTTTATTTTTAACATTTTTAAATTTTCAAATATACCCTTTTGAACTTCTAAATTCAACCTGCAACCAAAAGTTGACAAAAAGTATAAAGTGACATCTATATATGCATATTTTCATAGTCTTAATTAAACCAAGTGGTTTTGATTTCGCCTTAAATAAGAAATGGGTATTGCCTTGAATTTTATATATATTTTCCATCTAACAGAGTTGCAATAAAATAGTGATTTTCAAGTTAAAAAAGGGTTAAAAAGAATATATTTTAAAGTATCAGGCACATAAATGCATAATTATAATTCAGAGGGTACGGTAAAGACTATAATTTAACTTTTCTTTTTTAATTTAAAATTYTGTTTGGTGTCAAAAATCTTTTTGATATTTATACGAAAATATAATACTTAAAAATAGTATAATATTATTAACAAAATTTACAAATTGAATGAATTGTAAAGTAGATATGAAATGAATCCTGCGAACTCTACTAAATTGGTAAATTACATATTAATATTAAACCTCATTTGAAAAAAAAAGAAAAAAGATTGTGAAATAGGCTGCAAGTTGTAGATTAGATATGAGAAAGGCAGCAAAATAAAAAGGTGCTTTGGGGCTTAAATTTCATTTTTCTTTTAGAGAAAAAGACTTTTGATCAATCATTTTTCATTCATAGTGTATTCTTCTTGTCCAAATAAATACGGAAAAAAAAAAACAAAGAAAGTGTGACATTTATTTAACAGACAAGGTTACAAAAATWTATATAAATATATATATTAATTTTTGCAACAATAATATAAAAAAAAGTATTTAATTTTGTTATTTAAAAAGATAACATAAAACAAAGCACTAAAAAAAAAAGTATTTTCTAAATCTACGGTTAATAAGCCTCTACAATCTAGAGATCGGTGGTTATGTCATATGGTTGTATGTGTGAAATAGTACACCGAAAGCAACTTTGCGCCATCATGTGGAGTCAAAATCACCGCATTTAAGTAGAAAAATATTGATCCTCGTCTCATTTATATTTATCACGTTAATATCGGGAGATGTATTAACACTAAAAAAAATTATTTATAAAAATAAAATTAATTTATGAATATGGTAATATATGGTATTGCTATGGTACTAAAATTTTTATCACCTTTAAGCCTGTATATATTTTTATGGATATTTCAATTAATATTTTCATAGTATTGAAAAATATTAAAAGTATAACATAATAATAATAATAATAATAATAATAATAATATTAATAATTTTTCAATTTAATTAAAAATAGTGAATGTTTATCTGTAATCTTTTATTTATGCATTTTATTGATATTTGAATATATATTTTTTCATAAGATTTTGTGCTCCATGTTTCATTTCAACATATAGAACCTTGTAAGATTAATCAATGTAGATAGTTTGTATCTCAACAACTTTTGTTTTGTATTTTTTGGACAAAAGTCAACGACTTATATTATTCTTCCAGTGATAAAATAAACATATTCTACAAAGCGTATTATTTTTTATTGGAAAAAAAACTGTGGGTTCGAATATTAATCTTCAATTACATAATTGAACGTTTTTTTATAATTATACTTGAGATATAATATATATATGTACACACGCAGTTTTTTAATACGAGTTTATCGTGTAAAAAGCAATTGAATTGCGTCTGCAATTTGAAAAATCGTTTTCATATCTAAAATTTTCAACTTAATAACAATATGCCGAAAAAAAGTCAAATTTCTACGTCTAAAAAATAATCTGAAGTAAATAATTGAGCTTCCAATTTCAATATTTGTATGCACTAATATATTCATTTTATCTCCCGAGTCATTGTCGATATCTCTTTCGAAGACATTTTTGAGCAATCTTTATTCTTTTCCTTTTTCTCTCTCTAACTAAACTTTAATTATAAAAGTAATAAAATTAGATTATTCCTATCTTATGCCATAAAATTAGTAGATGGATTAGTACATATTCATATTAACCCAATTAAAAAAAGAACCCTTTAACTACTTGTGTAAAATTAGCTTTTTGAATTGTAAAATTCAACTGCGTAAATGAAATTTTCATAATTATTTAACTTTATTCGATATCTCAGGTCATTTATATATAATTTTCACTCTCTATTTTCTCTTAATAAATATTATCTCATCACTTTCTACGTTCTCTTGTAATACAATATTACTTAGGTATTTACCAATTAGTATTAATTTCTTGTTGACCACCCTGGGAGAAAAACAAGTGATATATATATATAGTTATGAAATTTTTAGTAATAGTAAGATAGGCGACTGGCTGATGAACAGTTAGGTGTTGGTTTTAGTATCTACTTTATAAACACAAATTCACTCTCATCTCCCTCCTGAATGATTATGTGAATACTAATTAAAATGGAAAATTAAGTTTTACTCCACCACTTGACATAAAATAAATATACATATACATATATATATATATGAAAAAAGGATCCGTTTCTAAATAAGTACATAGTGTTTGTTGTTACATTGAGGAGAAAAGCCGTATGAGATGATATATTTCAGTGTAGATAACAAAACATATTCATCCTCACTAGTCATTACATTAGAATACATCACGAAACTCACTTTACACAATTGGAAGAAGAAGTTTGGACAGCCTTCTGAAACCTCAGCAGATCAAAAATCATCCCACAAAGTAAACTATCTCTATCTCTGGAACACAAAATGGTGGAAGTTTCACCCAATCGCACCAAGAAACGACTGCAAACAGCACAACACAAAGAAAGCATTACAGATTCTATAAGCTTATTCACACATGATCATTTCTTTTTAAACTTAGATCCCATTTGAAAATGGACGTACCTTTACCTTTGCAGGACCGCCAAGCCTTCCAGACGATATGCTGCCAAACCCAAACTTTGGCTTCTTCTCAGCAGGTTTTAGTATTTGGAAAGAACACATTAAGTTTTCATCCACGTGCATCATTGCACCGGCATTGTCAAACTCTCCGCAGTAGTTGGGAGCAGAAAATATCGTTACAAGCTTTCTATTTGCAAAAAACTCGTACCCGTCCTCCACGACCTGCATATCGGAATAGTAGGTTTTCAGTGTAAGTGTCTGCATCGTGCAGGCCATGGAGTTCATTTAAAGAAAACATGTTAAAACCTGGTGAGCTCTACAAATCAAATCGAGATCATGCTTCCGAAGAAACTCGATTACTCGATCTGCACCAAAGGTGTATGAAACCCCTCTATCATTGGGCCCCCAGCCCCGTGCATCTAGACTTGGGTCGGACCAGAGAAGATCACACAGCAAACCACTTTCTGGAACATCAGTAGGACGCTTTGAATTTCTAATTTGATCCAACTTGTCGAGGTGAGGAGACAGCCCGCCGTGCATACAGAGTATCCTCTCATCAATCAGAGCAGCCACAGGTAAACAGTTGAAACAGTTTGTGAATACTTTCCAGAGTTTAACGTTGAACCTCCGTTTACATTCATCATAAAACCCGTAGATTCGGTTTACAGATGCACATTCATGGTTGCCCCTCAAAAGGAAAAAGTTTTCAGGATATTTTATTTTATATGCGAGGAGGAGGCAAATTGTTTCTAAGCTCTGCTTTCCACGATCAACATAGTCCCCCAAGAATAAGTAGTTTGATTGAGGAGGTAATCCACCATATTCCAGAAGCCTTAGAAGATCAGAATACTGGCCATGGATATCCCCTGGGTGGCACGAAAACAAAATTTCTGTCATACATACAGAATGAACAACTTTCAACAACTAAAAAATGAAGTAGAAGAGAAAAAGACTGATTTCATTTCCTTGGAAGCACAAACTAAGCCTGAAACCAGCAGGGGTTAAATTTTCTCTTGGTGTTAACAAGTTGAGTAACAACAATCAATAGTATAGGAGACAGAATAAAGGAACCAAGGAGGATGTAAGGCCTAGGGAATATTTTCTTGAACATGAAAGAATTCTTTTATCATTTGATTCATTTCTTCATATTTAAGTATTAACCCCAAATCCCCATCCATCCATGAGTTCTCTCAACCGACTACAATTTCAGAGGCGCAGGTTTTAGTTGAACGGCGTGCTCAGTCAACAGGAATGCGTATTCCCCCTTCTCAGTGTCTCTCCCCAGGTCTGTTATATTGTGAAGAAATGAAAGTATTTCCACCTTTTCTTTCATTGGAGGAGAAGAAAACCTAGCCATGACCGAGCGCAAGCAGTAAGTTAACACACAAAACTTCCCAACCTCTTCCTATCTTCAAATAAGGTGAAAACAATTCTACAAATTTAGTACCGTTGGGAAAATATTACAGCTCATATATTTTAAGTGCTGTTTATTTCTCCATGGTTAACAGGTTCCATTCCAATGGTTCTCACTAGTAGACTCATAGCTTGAAGCTGCGCTCACATGAAGCAACCAACAACTTTCTTCAATAAATTCATTCATAAATAGTAAAGCAATGCCATCTCAATTTCTAATCAACTTAGATCCATCTATGACACTTTCTGCAGCATGCTTTCTTAGAAAAGGTTTTGCAGCACTTGACAGCTCTACAACAAGTAATAAGCATGTTTAACTAGTTCATCTCATGTTTTTCATGTCAAACGCAGTTTACTTTCCAGACAAGGCAACCAGATAACAGTCAGACGATAGCTATATGAAGTCTAATCCAAACAAAAAACATAACAAATCAATCTCCAAGAAAACGATTTATGATCAAAGAAAGAGCAAGGGTAAAGGAGAAACCGCATATATAGATTGGTGCTTCAATTTCCAAGAGATTCGGTTGCCTCAAGAAAATATCCCTCGAGGACAAGCATAGCTGAGTAGTTTCAGTCTCAGAAAGCGGCACCTGCTTCCCCGATTTGCTCCCGACCTCAAGCAATTTATTGATTATTCTATTAAGAGTAGCAGATTCCATCTTAGTGTTCCTCCTTCAATTCGAAAAAAAAAAAAATTATCTTTAAGATCGTGCGAGCTAGCAGTAGTAAAGGAAAAGAAAACGCAGAATAAAGGCGACGTACTCCGATCTTCTGCGCCTGCTGCTGCTGGTTCTTGATTAGAGAAAGTAGCATGACTTGCGCAAACAAAAAGAGGAGAAGGAGAATTGGAGATGAGAGAGAAGGGGGTTTGAAAACCAAGCAAAATGGAACATCAACTGTTGCTTTATCTTTCTTTTTCCTTTTGCCCATTTGGCTTCTCACTTGGCGATCTAGAAAAGAATGGTGGCAGATCAATTGGGGGAAAAGAAGAATATATTCCATTGGAAGAAGATTGAGTGGAGTTGGGAGAAAAACCCTAAAAGAAAATGCTGATACAGAAAAGGAACAGGGGACGGAATTAAAGAATGAAAGTTGAGGAAGAAGATTTCCAAAGTGGGGCTCTAATTTGGTCTTCGCGGACCCCATAGAACTTCGTATGCACTCTTCTACCGACAATGGCGCTTCCATCTTCAGCACAGCACACGGCGTCCTTCAATTTCACTGCCACTGCAAAAAATCAGCGGGAAATTCTAAAGAAACTAACATTTATTTAAATCTGCAAGATCTTCAAGTTCATAAAACGCTGCATTTTTTCGGTTTGTACTACCTCTTACTTTTGGTAGGAAACTCAGCCCACCGCGGTTGGGCTTAGGCCCAGTAAAACGTGGGCCTAAATGGCAACTCTTAATGGGCTCCTGGGCCTTAACGTAGAAAAGGAGGGGCTCATTCCAATACTGACTATTTTGTTCACGATGTTGCGGGATTTTTTTCTTTTTTCTTTTTTCTTTTTTTTAGAAATTTGTACGTTTTTCTCACTGATAAATATATCAAATGGTGATTAATATTTTAGGTACTTTTTACCTTTTTTTTTTTTTAGCAAAGGTACTCTTCACATTTATCCTTAATTCTTTTGAAAAACTTAATTTCATATTTAATATATAAAAAATTCTCAATTACGTGTTTCTGTAAGTTGGTCATAAAAAAATTATGTATGCTTGGACACAGTGTCACTTTGGAAGAAATCTATTTTGTAAATAAGCAAATCCAATTTTACTAATGAGTGGATTAGATTTCATTTGTCAATTAGAATGYCAATGACATGTTTAAGTGTATAAATATGTTAATAAAATAATAATATGATCATGTATTGACGTTTTTTGTTGGCAAATTTTAACCAAAAAAAATATACATTAATAACCATTTTATACACAACGTTTTTTTATCTTTTTTAATGTTAAAAATATGGACCCTAGTCGATATATTATTTGAAAATAAAATTATCTCAAAAAAATATTTGAAAATAAAAAATAATAATATTTATTTTATCAATGCAAATTGACTAAATAATCACATTTTAAATATTAAGAGTAACTCGCCATAGTAAGGAATTAAATGGGGAAAAAAAGAAAACAAATTTCTTCTCGATGTTCTGGAGTAATTTTTTAAGAATAAATCGCCGGATATATACTAAATAAATTCCATAAAGCAGTGGAATAAATATAATATAACAACTACGTCGGTTGGAGTTTTGACCAGGACTTTGAAGTTTGACCTTGAACATTCAATAACCACGTGATTGAATTGGACGGTTCTGATTTTTCTTATTCAGACAAAACCTAATCCCTTCTTCAATTTCTTGTTGGGTTGTTCTTTTTGGGTAAATATTTTGCCTTAATCCACTAAGAAGAGTTAACGTATTCAATTTTTCTTGACAAATATAGCCATATATATTCATCCCCATTTAACTTTACTCCCAACTTTTTCTCTACAAATATACTAACAAATAAATAGCATTTTTTGATTTTCTAATTTGAAAAGTACCAGTACTAATTGGTATATATTTCTATCCAGCACCATATATTTTTGTAATTTAATTTATATTTATGACATATAGTAGGTTAAGTTACACATTTATGTTTATTTTAATTTTTTTTTTAGTCCGATCTAACTATTTATATTGGTTGCAGAAGTAAATAACAACTAGTAGGAAGATGTTAGGAAAGATCCTTACTTCTGTGGTACTATTAAGTAGAAAATAACAGATACAAGATTCTGTTAGAGAAAAATTAGTAAAACCTAAAAATAAAAATTACTTAATGAGAAAATACCAGCATCAAACCGAATTCTTTGAGCCACGAATGCAAAAGCAAAGAGAGATGGGAAAGTTATCATTCTCGTGGCCTTGAAATTCTGAATCACAGAAAAAAGACAATTTGCCCAAAGTGTGTATATTTCAAACACAGTAAAAGATAAAAAGAAAAATAAAAAGGAAAAGGAAGACAATCTTGATTCTGCTTCTTGTTGTGGAAAGCTCATAGTTATTAGTCAACAAATCAGAAGCAGCACGCAAAATCATCATCTAAATTATCCCATGTGATATTTATCTCTTAAATCTCTCTCTCTCTCTCTCTCTCTCTCTCTCTCTCTCTCTCTCTCTCTCTCTCATCAAATTCTCGAGAAGTAGATCATAGCCTTGGACGAAATTCAAATTCGAAGCAAGCTGGAACCTTCCTTAAACTTTGAATTCAAACCTCAAATTCTGCTTATAATCTTTTTTTTTTCTAATTTCCAAGTGGATAATCTCTCAACTATAACTCACGATCACGATCGCATGTATCTCTTCAATACAATAGTATGATATTGTCTATTTTTAAATATAAATCTCTGCTACTTTACTTTTGATTGACTTTACAAATATGGTAGGGTCTTTTGCAAAATTTGTTTAATCATGATTATCTTCTTTGTTTTACCTGTATTTTTATTTTATAAGAGACAAAAAAAGAATTGTACTTGACGGATGGGATGGATGGGATGAGAGTGCAAACTGCATTGTTTGATAAAGACGGATAACTTTGTTCAACACAGTTGTACGAAAGAAACCTATTGTGCCTTTCTTTGCATTTTATTGTATCCATTATTAATGAGTTGTGGCTTGTTAGAATATGATGCATATAAGTACCGATAATTGAATAAAAACAAATTAATTTTAAAACTTAAAAAAGTGATCTAAATATCTCTCTGGTTAAAAATGGGAAACGTGTTAAGTTTGTATAAAATATTGATATATGAAATCTCTATATACATATACATATATATATATATATATATATATATATATATATATATATATATATATATATATATATTCACGGTTAAATAGACAACATGATATTAAATTGTTGCATCAAAATGTATGAGGGTTTTTACTCTAAAATATGAAAAAGATAATAAATTACCTAAATTATCAATGTTGTTTATTGACAAAAAAGAAAAATCAATGTTGATTGTTGCAGTTTTTAGGGTTAACAAATTTACTATGACCTAAAAAAAAAAGTGGAATCGTACATTCTTCTAAAATGTTAAGAGTTGTTTGTAATATAAATAATAATTGAGGTGTCAATTTTATAGTACACACGTGTGACCCACGTAGGGAAAAGTCTAAAATTCCTTGAGAAACATTCGTGTAATAATTGTCGCACAGGCACAGAGATTTGAATTGAGCCTATCCAGAACTACAAGGATAATTCACCTTTTTTCTTTTTCCTAATTTACAATAAGACAAAGAAGAAAAAAAGAAAAAAGATGAAGAATATGATCATCTTCTCTAAGCTCTTACATTTTGAAGCTTTTTCTTCTTTCTTGTCTGGTGAAACAGGGAGAGATGGAGGGGGGAAAAATATTAACAGGAAATTAAGAGATCCCTAGATGGTGTGAACTGGAAAGCCAAAATCGCAAATAAAAAAAAAAAGAAAAAGAAAAATAAAAAAGAGGATTTTTAATTCAGTAAGAACAAGGGCTACCACTTTGAGAAGAGCCCAAAAGTTCTTCCAAATACTCTGCCCCTAAATCTTCCAAAACCACCACATTTTGGATCCTCACATCTCTTTCTTTGCTCTTTTTGCTTATGGCCTTCCTTCTGATGGAGTGTTTTCTTTTCAACGCCACCACCGGAGACCCGCCGTCATCGCCGCCGCCGCCGCCGCCGCCGCTGCAGTTCATTTCTTTCAGAGACTCCCTAACTCTGTCCACCGGAAAATTGAGAATTGCCGCGGCCCCCCTCATCGAAAACGCGGCTTGATCGTAGGCCAGAGCGGCTGCCTCAGCACTGTCGAAAGTCCCCAACCAGACCCTGATTCCATGTCGGGTGGAATCTCTAATCTCCGCCGCAAATTTGCCCCACGGCCGCCGGCGAACGCCCCGGTAAGATCTCTCCTTCTTGGGGCTCTCCTCGCCGACGGAATCGACTTCCTCTTCCTTCACTCGAACGCCCCCCTGAGTCCCCTCCGAGATCAGTTCGTAGAGAAGCATTTCTTCCGAATCGTTCTCGTTGAAAGGGAGAAAATAGTGGTCCAAATTCATGAAGGAGGATTCYGGCGAACCGAAGGAAGATTCTGATGAGAAATCGGAAGCCGGGGAGAAGAAGCCGGAGGAATCCATGTAATTGAGGGAGATCGAATTCTGATTGGGAATTGAGAATTAGAAATTTAGAACAACAAGAAGAAGAGGAAGAGAAGCTCTGTTTTTGAAGCTCCTCTGTTTTGGAGGTCGTTTGGAGGAGGAAAATTCGAGCCCACATTTGGTGGTATATATACGGAATATTTAAGTAAAAAAAAAAAAGTGAGGAAATGGATAAGGGTAAAAGGGGAATTGGGCGTGGTGTTGAGGGTAAAAAGGGTATTTAGGGGGATAAAAAGTATGTCACACTGAATTGGTTTATAATGTTTTCGTCGTTTGGAGAAGGAGCAGATTAATTGTACACATGCGTGAATTGGAAGCATGGCCGCCGTATCAAATGGGGGGAGTTATGCTGACGTCAGCGTGTTATTGCGGATTTTTTTTTGTCCGTTAGTAGTGGAGCGAGCTGCACATCTTCCAGCCACGTGTCGATCACGTGACGGCTCTATGATTTTTGTCCTGTTCTCGTGGACAATTCTGATTGGTACTTAAACAGCGGTTTATGAGAGTGTGGAGCGGGAAAATGAAAGCCCAATTTACCAATTTCACAAGCGTATTCTGTTTTTGTTTTTTCTTTTTACCCGCTTTTTTTTATTAAATTATTTTTTCACTATCTCATACAATTTTAATTTTTTTAAAAATTTATTGTTTTATATGGGTATATTTTTTTATTTAAAATTTAGACTTAGTTTTATAGAATATTCATGTGATTTATTATTATATTATTCTCAATAATTTTGAGTTGTTTCTTACCTTTAGCGGGTTCTTTTTTTAATTTCATGGTTTTAGAATGGAAGATCATCTTCAATCAATGACAATAAGTATCTCTTGTGCTTTGATTAACAAATTGTACCATATTCAAGTTGATACATGTCTTATATTTTAAAAGTTTTTTCACGTATTTCCTATGAATTTGTTAGAACCATAAATGTGTAGTGTTTATATATATATATATATATATATAGTATAAACAAGCATAATTATTGATATCACTAGTACAACAATCTCAATTTTCCATCTCCCTATTAGTCTAATTATTGTTCATTTAATGCCTAAGCACTATTACATTTGCTTTAATTTCTACTTGAAGATTTTCTTATATTGAGTCCAAATTACTCCATTTTAATTAATTCTCTATCACACTTTACCATAGGAAAAACATCCCAATCTATAAAACTTAGTTAAAATTACACCATTAAATTTATGAAGGTTCACTATTATGTACCCAATTAAAATTTCATTCTACTTTCTAACTAATACGAGATTTTAGTCACACTCTCATTAACAATCTTAGAATAAACAATCACTGGGTCTCTTCTAAATATAGGGATGAGCCTTTCCAAAAAAATAAATATAGGGAAGAGAAAAATCTCAAAAAAGAAAAGAAAGAGAGGTCTTTGTGGGGGGCAGAAAATTCCAAATCACATTACTTCATCAATGAGGGGAAAGAGGAAGAGGCAAATAATTGAAAGAAGTATTATCAGAGCTCCGCGTAATTGATATTTATCTCAAACTAAGAGAATTTGACTTCGATCTCCACCCCACGTGATGTATAAAAGAAATTATTAATATAAAAGTAAAAAATAATTAAAAAATGAAGTTACCCAAATTAAAGGGTACCCGAATACCGAATTTACATTATGAAACAGATCTAAAATTTTGATTGATCTGAAATGGTGGTATTGACAAAGCGCCCATATGGGCGCTGCTTCCAGGCAATTACAAGCTGACCTAAAAACAAAAAGATAAAATTATTGGGCATGATTGGAATTTCAAAAAATATAACTTTCCTTCCAAAAATAATTATCAAAATCACTATCGAATAACCCCCACACACACACACACACCAAAAACTATTCCTACCTTGTACACTGGCCCAAACCCTCCCTCACCAAGCTTGTTATTGAAGTGAAAGTGATTAGTCGCAGTTTCCAGCTTCTCAAAATNCCCCAGTTCAGTCCAGATACAGATCCCCTGGTTTAGAAAAAGTTAAAATTGTGGGAGGTGAAAAAGGTCAATAAAAGTTTTCGTTGGGAGCCTGAAATTGAATGAATTTCAACACATCTTTCCCAAAATAAGGGATACTGGAATTCGACAGTTCAGTATAGTGATTAGTGTTGCTATTTTTAGATTACGACATGTAGTCCTCGTTCGAAGCTTCCCGGAAAGGCTGCTCTTTCCGCATGCAAACGACACGTCGGTTTCACCAAACTAAAATCTATAATCTCTCTCTTATTCTTTAAATTCTAAATGACCATTTTACCCCATTAAAAAAGAATTAAGGAGAAAAAGAAGACTTTTCAGCTAAGAATCTCAGAAAAATATGCTGAAAACAGACGGCTAAAATCTCTTCCCTTTGTGCTGCTGCTGCCATTACATTACTTGTGTGAAAGGGGACAAAAAGATTTGATTGCTGGTTTTTTTGTCTTTTTAAAGTTGTCAAGTCAGCAGTCTTAGTTTGACATTTCTGACATTGAAATCCAACGACGTGTAGTTTTTGATTCCTAGGTAGAGCATTCAAGTTTTAAAAATAAGGTTAATTTTGTAATTTTGCCTCCATGGTATTTTAAGCAAAATAATGATAAATGAAACCTAAAAGTGTATTCTCGGAGGTCTGAAAATTCAGAAAACAAAAAACACAACAATTTTTTGGGGGTGAGGCAGGTAAAGAGTTAAAGGCTTCTTTTCTTTTTTTTCTTTTTTTCTTTCTTCTAATAAACATCCATAATTGCCACATCATTTTCTAAAATTTGAGGGCAAAAATGGTATTTCACGCCACTCCCATGGATTAAGGTAGAAAATAAAAATAAAAGGGGAAGAAACAAAACCTACCCTCTTGGGTGGGAATAAAAAAATGAAAAACATTGTGAGAAACAAATCTTATCTTCAATTAAAGAAGTGGAAAATGATGATTTTTTCAATGAGAGCCAAAACAAGAGGAGAGAAAAAAATTATATAAATTTGGGGGTTGTGATTTGTGAATGACTAATGAGAAATACATTCTCTCACCCGATCCTCCACACCTTTGACTTCAACCCTCAATTTTATACTTTTATTTCTTTTATTTAAACTAATACAAAAAGTAAACATTCACTTTATTATAAAAYTAGGAATTTCAATTCTTTATTCTTATATTTAGCTAAGCTAATCAAATTAGATCTTCAACTTACACAAGTGATTAAATTAATATCCTTCTTATTTGTTATATGTTTTCTAAATCTTCATGAGCTTAAGGCGGCATTTTATTTTATTATTTTAATCTCATTTGTTGTTCATGGATTTTTTTAATTAACTTTCAAAATTTTTATTTTAATCTCTAAAATTTAATGTTTGTTTATTTACRTCCATGAAGTTGTTAAATGCCTTTTTTTTTTTTTATCTTTTTAGTTTAACAGTTATGAGATTGGGAGATTGAATAATTGATCTTTCTACGGCTCTTAAATATCTATTATAATATTTGAATTAATTGTCATTTTCTRTTAATTTTCATTATTTCAAAAATGATGTGCATTACAAAACTGACACACCTATTAGAGTTTCATAAGCGGACTAATAATACAATATTAGATAAGAAAATATTGGTGATTGAATACTAGTTATTACGAGATGAAATCAAGTGCAAACACGTGACCTCCCCTCATTAAGACATGTATGTGTCCAAACCTTAGCTCAAACATGTCAAGAACGAGGAATAAATACTCATGCATACAAGAACACAATTCAACTTGGTTCCGACCCAAAGAAGATTCTAACTGGTAGAAAATCCGCTAACATTAAACAGARTGACGATTCTATCGTCAAAGGATCTTCGAATTGCCAGTGAAAAATTTGTTGAATGACAGGTACACCCATAATTATGATAGAACTAAGGTTCTCAATGCTCCCCTTGTGTAAAAAATAGAGTTCCACATTCTCAAATATATCCAATATTTTGCATTCTACTTAAGCTTCAAAGTGTAGGATTGAACACTACACCAATATATAAGGTTTTGCATTTAGATGCCACTAGAGTTGACTTCAAAATCTGCATCAAACAATTCGCTGACCTGTCACCATAATTATGGCTCAACCATAGCAATAACAAGAATGATTATCTTTTAAGAAGTTTACGATTAGTGTAAGGTTTAAAATAAATATGAATATGCTATGTTGAGGAATCAAATAGCGACAGTGCAGAGATTTGCAAAAAAAAAAGGGGGTTGGAATTGGTGGGTTGAGTCTCTGAAATCGAGGGTTGCGTAAAAAGAAAAGATTTGGTAGCAAATAAAAATTAATAAAGGGAGAGACCAGCTTTGGTTTATTCTGTAGGTTTTAAAATCCCAAAATTTGGTGCTCTGCTACGAAGCTTCCATCAAGAGTGAGGGGAAGAAAATTCTAGAAGAAATAGGAAAATATATTAACAACAAACATAAAAGGAAACTGCGAGGATGTTTCTGTTCCCTATCACTACAACGAACAAAAAAAAAAAAATGGACCAATCATTGTTGTTAAACAGGTTCATAGTAGTTGATTTTTTCTTTTCTTTTTTGTCYTTTTTTTTTGGTGAAAATTATAGAATATTATGGGGAAAAGAAAAGTTTGAATGGCTTGGAGCCGTTGGAAATTTGGTCCAAACACAAACATGACTTTTTTTCTTCTTCCTCCTTTTATATTAATTTCATCCTTYTCAATCATTATTTTCATCGTCTATATATTATTACTTTCTATTTAAATGTAGCTTTTATCTATTTGATTGGACAAAAGAAAAAAAAAAGTGAGGTGAGATGCACATCCCACCGTATTAATTTACTTAACTTATATTCACGGTGACTAATCTAAACCTAATTAAATTTGTTATAAAATTTCTTACAAAATTTTTAGTTTAGATCTTAGAAACCAACAAGATAGCGATAGAGTATAAATTGCAGAAAACTACAAAGAAAGACCTATCCCGACAAGATTTATAATGGTACTATTTGTGATAAATTCTACATGATCATATAGTGAAATGAAAGACTAAGAAATATTAGGTTGAAAAATGTGAATTGACTATACTCAATCATCTTCAATAATATTTAAACATGAAATAGATTCAAATCTCAAATAAAATTTTAATTTGAATCGGACCTAATTAAG